CTGCCGTAAAGGCTTAGCGGGATCCTCCATTTTCTGTGCCACGCTCCGTCAAGCTTTTGTTTTTCTGCTAATTTACAGCAGACTTGCTCTTCCTAGTCGTGCACCTTCTTACTTTTCCTCTCTCTCTCGAGCTAAATATAAATAAATTATTGTTGCGTTTCCAAGAAGCATATAGCTAGCCGCTGCTAGGAGTGCTAGTGGCAATGAAATCGTAATATATCTTGCGAAAGATGAAAGTGGAATCTTATGTATGTATAATGAATGTATCGACGTGAAGTTTTCCAATGTATTGGCGTAAAGTTCTCCATTGGCAAATATACTGACGTGAAGTTCTCCAATATAATTTTTTCCATCATGGCCAATGTAATTTGTTTTTACATCATGATCTTCTCCATATATTCTCCCCCTTCCCCTACAAACTTCACAATCAATTTGATATATTGAAGGTGCAGCTAGAAACAGCAAATCTGTATAAAATTTGCAATATAATCAATTTTTTTCGAGCTTTCGATATGCTAGAGTGAACGCCGAAACGATTAAAGATAACTTTATTAAAGAGAGTGAGATCGTTAAAAAAGACGACTTCTTTTCTATATTAGTTGTCAGTGATTGCGATTTTGCTTTCCGAGCAAAAGCATGTCGCCTAGCAGACTAAGAGATCTGCCTGAGATATTTTCTAATTTGCGGATATATGAAAAGGCACTTCTCAATTAAAATATCATTACTAAGCTTTCAAACTTCGCTTAGACGACCGATGCCTTATACGTCTTACAAGTACAATAAAAATTAAAAAGTAGTATATTTATTGCAAGTTTGAAAGCATGTAAGAATTTGCACGCGATTGGAATAATCTCGATTTTAGCAAATAGTTTCGCACAATCTGAAATATATGCATAAAAATTCATTAATCATAAATATATTTTTTACTTCTATAAAGCACTACATAGTCAATGTTTGTTCCCTAACGTTTCCACTTTCCTCTAACTATGACAATAAATTTATCATTTAGTAATTTGCCGCTTTTTAATCTTTATATTTAATTGTAACCGAATTCGATCGCGCGTGAGTACCCCTAGTTTGTAACGTCAGCTACAGACTTACGTTCGTAAGATTCGATCTGTGAAAGCTATCAAAACTTTTTTAGTTAGATTAGTCGTCTAACTGGAGACGATGATACGTTCCCTCTGATTATCCTAATGATCAAGATTAGATTAGTACTCTAAAGCCTCGGAAAGCATCGTTAGCGTTCACTCTAACGTAAACGTTCTTCGTCATAATCCTTTTAATGTTCCAAAGTACCGCCAGCTCAGGTAGTCATATTAACATACTCTTACGCTGTAGCCAATATGGCTGTTTAAAGTTGCTGGTATTTAGTACGAGTGCCGAGCAAAGAGAGAGAGAGAGGATTATGATTTTTTAACGAGGAGGTGTCTTAATACACAGATAAGAGATAATCCCAAGCGTTTGGTTGTTTGGCGATAGTATCGGCATCAAGAGTTTTAAATCCTGTTAAAAACCACGTCGTATAGACGGGTAACGCGCCCAATAGTGTTCCAAAAAGTTTTAGCCGCAAGCACGGCCGTAATCGCTATTTCTACAGATGGTTGAGTCAGAGCTTGATCGAATCAGTTCGCCCGCAGTCTTTCGATCGACCTCAATAAGATCGATGTAATGCGCTATCTCTCGAAAATTACCAAGAGATAAGTATATAATCACAAGATCTGATTGTACATTGATTGTAAATTCAAGCAAAGAAATTGTGCTTTATTGTTTAATAATTATGTGTAATAGATCAGGTATTATTGATCAAACTCTGACTCGAGTATCTCTAGTTATCTCTAGTTTTTCTTGCAGTTCTCTAAATGCCTAGCCGCTGTCGCGGTGTTTTTTAAGCTTGCCTCTTTAAAATACACTGAAGGAAGTCGTAATCTAATACTGATTGTGAGTTGTACATCCCGTTTCATCGATATCCCTCAGTTAGTTATAGCGCGTGAAGTACAGATGAAGAATCGAAAACAAAAATGGCCCAAGTGAGCGATCTTGTGGTACTCGTTTATATTGTTATGCAATTTATTAAAACAATAATTTAAATTAGAAGACAGTCTGATATTTCAATGTATTCACGAAATATTTCAATACGTGCGAAGATCCGAGTACCTTATAAGTTATCGTATCTTTGACTTACGCCATTCTTGCTTTAAATTTCTCTTGAATATATTTCCTACGGAACGCTAAGCTCCGATTTACGGTGAAATGACTGTGAATGTTTGCTATAGTATCTATGTCCTATTATATGCGGATAAGTTGTCACTTCTCTAGATTATTGTCGGAAAATTGATCTCATCGCTGTGTGTTATTATACGAAACATCATGAAACGGGGCGTAATATAAAAAATTTAAATGATATAAAAAAGATAATTTTATATCTACTGCGAATTAAATAAAAACCATCTTTCTTTTTTTAATCGAGATTCTAATGGCTTAAACGATATATGGAAATATTGTAGAAAGAGCAAATCTGTTAATGGAAAACTGCTATTAAAATCAGATATCCCCAAAGGGAAAAGTCTATTAAATCAATTCGACTGATATTAAAGTGTTTTTTTTTTATTCGAATACGAGTTTTTTTGTATAGCTTTTATAGAAATGTGCGCGCAGTAACAAGAATGTATTGCTAGCTTAAAAAACATTTTATTTCCCCAGCGGCGAGGCGAGACTAGATGAAATGTTATATTAACGCGTATCGGAAAACCATATCATTTTTTAAAATAAAATATAAATTACAGTTTGTAATGTATACATCATACGATATCTCGATAACATTTTAATATAGATCAAATTTTTATATAGTTAACAATAAAGCTATGTACGTTTTACTTTAATAAACTCTGTTTTTTTTTTTTCAAAGATACGTTAACTAATTCAACAATACAAATATATATACATGTTCTGCATGGAACAAAAATATCTTTGTGTAGCTCGATTTTTTTCTTCTCTAATTTAACTTTCAGATAATAATTTTCAAAATCCTATTATATGCACTCTATGATAAGTATATTCGAATAGTATTGAAGGAAGAGACATAGCTTTCCGACACACCTTGCCGAATGTTCGGACATTAAATTGTTTCTCATGATAATGGGATTGATATGTTTCGCGAGACAGACGACGCTCGTTTTATAAGCAATAATCGAAAATAGTTTGCGCACGAAGAAGCCGCGTCTATGAGTTTACAAAACTTCTGCAAAGACAATAAAACCGCTGCCCCCGTGTATTTCGATATATCGAAGGAAGACATTGTGATTGTTCGATCTTATGTTCATCGCCTTAACATCCTTACAATTAGATATGTTACAGCCGAATTATCCTAGAACAATTGACTTTTATTAAGGAATAAACTCGTGCATTGCGCTCAATATGCACAGTATTGTAGGTAGCGTGAGTTCTCGTATGAGAATCGCCGCGGAAGACGTCACATCCGGCGCTGGTATGATTTGCACTGAAACAAGTCGCACGGTACAAACATCGGGACTTTTACTTTTGTTATTGATAAATTGGTAAGAATAAAAAAAAAATATATGGAAGCCTCTGGGGCTTGTAGAAGGCAAAAACACGTGGAAAGGTATAAAGTCCTGGAGAGCAGTCAGTTTTTCGCAGTAAAAATGTATATTTTTTTTATTTCCGATATTTTTTAATAAAATAATCCGTACCTATCTTTATCTATCACTCTGTTTTCGACGTCATGCATGTATTCAGTGGTTAAAAATTGTTATTATTAGCAAATTCGATTGGACGCACTCAGTGTGCACTGATGCACATTAAAGCCGTCGTATACAAAATAACGTAAAAAAGATATGTTTATACGTAAACATAGAAATCAATTTAATCCTGAAACATATTTTATTGTACTATTAGGTAAAATATGTATTTTATAATTCGAAATATTTGCATTTCACTTTTATACTCAAATTAAATCAATTTATGACGGCTTTAATATGCAGCAGTGCGCACTAATACTTCCGATCGAATTCGCCATATGTTATGTCCATAGACTTCTCTATCTGTGCGTTATACATACGAAAAAGAGTTTAATATCTTATGAAAAAACTTACCCGACACCGTCTTTTTTCTACTATCGGCAAATTGCTCGTGATGCATGGGAAATGCGGGTATTGTTGCCCGACAGCTGATCTCAAGATGCCCATTTTGGCCAGCGTGCAACTCGGAAACCTCCACCTTCAGTTTAGCAGTAGCGAACATCAGATGGTTCTTATGATATGTATGCGGATAGTGTGTCACTAGAGTAATATCCACCTGGTGAAATCGATAATTAGAAAATTACAATCGGGCGAAGGAATATATTTCCATGGCTACTTAAAAATTTAATTGCGCATAATTACGTGTAAGTTCGAGTAAATTATAAAAGTATGTTTTTGCAATATGAACAAATATTTAAAAAATACAATTCTCTCCTTCAAACACAAGTAATTTTCAAGGAACTTTGTCAAAAATAATCATAATGAAACAACCCAAAAAATATTTCAAAGCTTGCAGAAATTTCTACTTTTCAAATCGGTAGTTTAGATAACGACATGATTGATCTTTTACGAAGCTACACGGATAAGTGGACATCAATTTCAAAGTTTTTACGAACTTTACAAAGTTCCATGGCGTGAATTAAAATCGCACGTGAAAGCAGTTTATAATCTTCGCAAGAGTGAATCATTATTTTTAATTTGCATATTTATTAAGTGTTGTACGATTTTTTTTTCACCGAGTAATTTAACACAGAAGCAGAAAGCGTCTTTTTTACTTTGGCTGCTTGCAGAAGATGAATAGAATAGCGCTTGATAGTCTTTAAAAAACGAATAGAAAGGTTTAAGCTTTCTCTTTGAGGTGCATCTACCATTTTTTTCGATATAAAAAAACTTTCCGTATGTAAACTTCGCTTAA